AGAGAGCTATACATATTGGGACTAGATCAAGCAAGGGGTATCAACACCAAAGTATGAAAGAAGCTCTAAAGCAAAGATTAACGAGTAGGGTCAAATCAATATAAGACTCATCTGTCCGCAATACACAAAGTAAGGGCCATTAACACATATGCTATTCCGACAATAACATATAGCTTCGGAATAATCAAGTGGACAGACTCTGACTTAGAGCAGCTAAACAGAAACATAAGAGTCTTATTTACAAATCATAGAGCAAGACATCCCAAGAGTTCGATCGAAAGATTCTACTTGCCAAGATCCAAAGGGGGACGAGGCGTGATTGACCTTAAAGCAGCTAACCTGCGGAATATAGAAAACCTCAGGAGATTCTTTTATAGAAAGGGCGAAACATCTGCATATCACAGAAATATAGCTTCAGCTGAATACAAGTTCACACCACTGAACCTGTCGGATGAACAGTATGAACCTCTAACCCATGTGACCACCGACGAACAATGGTATCATCAATGGAAGTCCAAACAGCTTCATGGAAGACATCCAGCCATGCTCAGCTCAGATCACATTGATGCAGAAGCGTCACATGGATGGCTGAAGAGTGGGGAGCTATTTTCGGAAACTGAAGGTTTCATGATTGGCATTCAAGATCAGGTGATACCAACCTTAAACTATAGAAAATACATCATGAAAGAAGAAGGCATTGAAGATAGATGTCGTATATGCCATAACAAGTCGGAAACAATAGAGCATATCCTGACGAGCTGCACTCCCCTAGCTTCCACTGAGTATCTGAAGCGCCACGACAACGTGGCTAAAATAGTTCACCAAGAAATTTGTTATGCTGCGAACATACTAACTGACCGCACCCCATATTACAAGTACCAGCTGACTCCAGTTATAGAAACTAACAGCCATAAAATATACTGGAATAGAACAATTCAAACAGATCACACCATGGAATACAACAAACCAGATATCGTAGTTCAAGATAAAATGAAGCAAGTTACCTGCATAATTGACATTAGTGTGCCTGCCCCACATAACATAGCTGAGAAGCAGACAGAAAAGGTTCGCAAGTACTTACCACTAGCTGCAGAAGTAAAAACACTGTGGAATCAAGAAAAAGTTGAAGTCATCCCAATAGTGATCGGAGCCACAGGAGAAATACCTAAGAGTCTACATAAATATATTGAAAACTAAATCTGCCGCAGAAACTATACCTCTCACTTCAGAAAGCTGCTATCTTAGGTAGTTGTCATAGCAGGCAAGGTCCTGAATGTAGCCACATAGACAAGAGAACCAATAGTCACACTCAGACGCTTGCAGTATAATGCCGCGTTTGAGGATACCACCTGCAGTAGCAGAGAATAGCTAACTAATAATAATACTAATAATAATAATAATAATAGAATAATAGAATAATAATAATAATAATATATAGTATTAATAATAATAAGTAATAAATAATAATAAATAATAATAATAATAACAATTATAATTATAATAATAACTATATAAGAATAATTATATAATAATAATAATAATAATAATTATAATAAATAATTTTAATAATATAATATGATAATAATTATATATAATAATAGTAATAATAATAATAATAATAATAATTATAATAATAATAATATATAATAATACTAATAAGAATATAATTATAATAATAGTAATATAATAATTATAATAATAACTATCATAATAATAATATAATAATAATAATAATAATTACTATTATTTATAATATAAATAATAATAATAATAATAAATAATAATAGTATTAATAATAATAATAGTAATAATAATAATAATATTAATAATAATATAATAACAATTATATTATAATAATAACTATAATAATAATAATTATAATAATAATAATACTAATTATAATAATAACTATAATAATAATATTTTATAATAATAATAATGTAATAATATAATTATAATAATAGTAATAATAATAATAATAATAATAATTATAATAATAATAATGATATAATAATAATAATAATATAATAGCCCCCGCAGGGTGTATCTACTTTGAAGCTGGATATTTGATCCGGTTTCAAGGAAGATACATGGGGAGCGTCGCCCCCACGGCCCCAGGCAGGGAGTTCGGGGTTTGGTAGTCTTATTCATTCTGCCAAACCCTGGGCTTTTCCTTCCCCCTTTCTCCCATCCTTCTCCTTTTATTATATCCTGTGCAGCTGTCCGCTGCCCTCCCGACTTTCCTTGTCCTTTCCTTACTCCATGCGTTGAGGCGGCGCGTGGGGCTTCCTCTTAGCTTCCCGGGTGTTTGTGCCGTGCCCGGCGACCCGTAAGCTGGCCAATGGAATCCTGGTGGTTGAGCCCTACCAGTCAGGGGGGCAACACGCCACTTTGGTCCGGCGGTCAGTCTAGAAGGGCGGCCGCGCCTAGCCCAGCGTCGGTCAATCGGCTGTGCCATCCCGTCAGAGGGCTGGTTGGGCGAGCCTCCACAGGTAGTAGAAGCCAGACGGGAATAGTTCGCTATGCTCGATGTATGGTGGAGCTACCTGTGGGGACTATACCTCCTTTTCCTAGCATTAACGGTATCCCTGGGGTTATGTCCTAGCGGAAGGCGATTATGGGCATAACCTCCCAATGAGGCTCCGTGGAGGGTGGGGAGCCGGGGAGGCGAATACTTATTTTGAGCATATGGGAACTACACAAAATTCAACAGGTGTGCTCACCTCCTTAAATGTGGGCGCTACAGGAGTGGCAACAGGCAGACCAACCGCCAAATGCGACGACCCCTTCAGCCATGAAAAGGCGGAAATTGTTCCCCGGTTCTTGGTGTTGGGAAGAGGAGATGGGGGAAATTTTGATAAAATGAACCCCTTTCTTATAAACAAAACATTATTTGGATTAGTAGGAGAGTTAAAGAGTATCAGAAAGACAAAGCAGGGCCTTGTAGTCGAAACATCATCCCCAGCACAAGGAAGAAAATTGTTACGTCTTGAACAATTTGGTGAATTCGATGTAAAAGTCTCACCTCACAGAACATTAAATTTTTCAAAAGGAGTCGTTAGTTGCCCTGATTTATTGAATGTACCAGTTGAGGAAATTCTAGATGAACTTCGATCTGAAGGAGTTGTTGAAGTTTCAAGGATAGTTCAAAAAAGAAATGGCTTATTGGTTGAAACACCTCATCATATTCTAACGTTTAACAGACCCAAGTTACCTAAGTCAGTAAAAGCTGCATTTTACTGTCTACCAGTACGCCCCTTTATTCCAAGCCCCGTAAGGTGCTTCAGATGTCACAAATTTGGACATATGTCCTCAACATGCAAGTATGAACAAGTGTGCCTATGTGGTAAAGATTTACATCAACCTAGTGAATGCATCGAACCATTTAAGTGTGTTAACTGTGGGAATGACCACTTGTCTAATTCAAAGAACTGTCCGAAAATGAAGGAAGAAGTCAGCATACAGAATATTAGAACAACAGACAAAATTTCCTATATTGAAGCTAAAAGAAAGTATTACGCCGCAATGCCTGCTAATACAACGTATGCCCAAGTAACAGCCTCTGGGTCAGACAATACTACGGCTAAGAAATTCATTCAGGAGCTCATCCCAGATATTGCTCAGATTATAGACCAACAGGTCAAAAAAGCAATAGATGAGGTAATTAAGACCAGTTTATCAATATACCTGCCGTCTACCTCATCAGAAAGAAGGCCTATGCGACGGGATCAGTATGACCTCGATGCAGCCTCAATTGTCTCTGATACTCCATCACAACTTTCAGATAAAAGAAAAAGGACACAATATATTCGGACTGAAGAGCTAGTCTGCCTTACCGATACTTCTGAATCACAACTAGATGATGAGCTGAGTCAAACTAAAAGGAAAAAGGGTTGGCCAAAGGGTAAGCGCCGTAAGCCACCCAAACCTGGAGAAAGCTCAACTGCGAATTCTCAGATAGAATCATCATTAGAGCAAATATCAGATCCAACATAAGCTGTGTTATAACGTTCTAAAGTATTTGTATATATGTGTATATATATATATTATATGTATATATTCATTTTTTGTTGTTATTATCTGTTTATACATTGTATTTGAAAATTATTATTCGTCCTTAGATAAATACGCATTTTATTTATATTCACACAACCGTCTTATACAGTCAGGAGCTGATACAAGACACACTACAATATATTTTAAACAAAAACCCCTAAATGGACTCTATAATCCAGTGGAATATAAATGGATCTAAGACACATTACCCCGAATTGAAAACGATAATGGTTGATAAAGCTCCTTTCTGTTTGTGCCTACAAGAGACCCACCTCCGTGATACAGATGTGTTTAACCTGCATAACTACAACTATATACGAAAGGATGCCGCCTCACAATCTCTGGCTAAGGGGGTGTGGCAATATTTATAAAGGATAACGTACCTTTTAGTGAAGTAACCTTACAAACAGCCTTGCAGTCAGTTGCTGTACAAGTGCATTTGCCCTTTAAGTTCACGATATGTAACATCTACTTACCCGACTTTAGTTGGGATAGGAACCAAATAAGAAGTTTATTATCCCAACTACCCTCTCCGTTTCTTCTTGTGGGCGACTTCAATTCCCATAATCATCTATGGGGTTCCAATAAAATTGATCTCCGAGGCAGAATAATCGAGGAACTTGTTGAAGAACATAACCTAGTCATACTGAATACTGGAGAAGGCACATATCTAAATACCCGTTCTTGCAATTTAAGCGCCATTGATTTGACCATCTGTTCCCCACAAATAGCACACCTTTTCCAATGGCAGGTATTGGAGGATAACTTCTCTGATCACTTACCTATTTTAATTAGAACCTTTGTGAAGTGTCATCCTCCCGTTCGACACAGTAAATGGAACATTAAAAAAGCAGATTGGTCTTTGTACCAAACATCCTTTCAATATGAACGGCACTGTACATGAATCAGTAATAGAGATCACAAATGGCATCATTGAGGCAGCGGAGGGTAGTATCCCCAAAACAGCCAGTGCAGTCCGTGGTCCCAATAGGGTACCTTGGTGGAACCGCGAACTTGATCATGCAATACAGAAGAAAAAACAAGCTTTTACCCAATTCAAAAGATGCCCAACACTATCTAATCTTATCAAGTTTAAAAAATGTAGAGCGAAAGCCCGTCAACTGATTCTGATGAGTAAGAACTCGTCCTGGAGGGAATTTGTATCTACTATATCTAGAACTACTCCCGATTCTGAGATTTGGAAGAAGATTGGATTATTATCGGGAAAACGCTTCCCTATTCCATCACCTGTCCTGTTGATCAATGATAAAGAAATAACAGACAATCAAGAGATTGTTAATGTCTTGGCACTTGAATTCCAGAATAACTCAAATTCTTCCAACTATTCACCTAAATTTTTAACCAAGAAAGTTGAAGAGGAAACCACACACCTTGATTTTACTGAAGACAGGGTATCTGCATATAACTTGCCTTTCACGTTGGAAGAAATGGAAAGTGCACTAAGTGAGGTCCACAACTCTGCTCCAGGGCCAGATTCTATACACTATGAAATGATTAGACACTTACCTGCAACAGGAAAGATGAATTTGCTAACTCTTTATAACAAAATTTGGGCAGAGGGTATATACCCCCAACAATGGCACGAGGCTGTGATCATTCCTGTATTAAAACCTAATAAAGATCCAAAAACCCTGGCAGCTATCGCCCTATATCTTTAACATGTTGCCCAAGCAAAATATTTGAAAAAATGGCAAATAGGAGATTAGTATGGTTCCTTGAAGCACGGAATTTACTTTCAAATCATCAAATGGGCTTTCGGCGTCACCGATCCACTATTGACCAGTTAATCTACTTTGAATCAGCTATTCAGACAAGTTTTGCTAACCGAAATCACATGGTGGCAGTCTCTTTCGATTTAGAAAGGGCATATGATCGAACATGGAGGCACGGAATTCTGAAGACCCTATACTCTTGGGGACTCAGAGGCAACCTATTAACTCTCATATCAAATTTCATGGAGGACCGTTTGTTCAAAGTTCGCATAGGAAATGAGCTCTCACATGCCTATACACAGGAAAACGGCATCCCTCAAGGATCGACGCTAAGTGTGACACTCTTTATAATAGCGTGAATCCCCTTGTTGAGTCGATTGAACCTCATATAGGCAAATGTCTATATGTGGACGACCTCACTATATTCTTCTCTGCAAAGGACCTAATAGAAATCGAGGAAACTCTACAAGCAGCAATAAATCATCTTACGACTACCGCTGAGAGTCTCGGTTTTCAATTCTCCCCCGCAAAAACGGCCTGTATAGACTTTTGTAGGCTGAGAACTCCACACACTAATCCTCGACTGTCACTAAATGGACATCTGATACAGTGTAAAGATACTCTTGATCTTCTGGGGCTAACGTTCGACCAAAAACTTCACTGGGGTCCTCAGATTGAAAAAATCCTTGTTAGGTGCAAGAAGTCCATGAACATTATCAAATGTATCTCTAACATCCAGTGGGGAGCCAGTCGGGAAGTCCTTCTGAATTTATATCAATCTTTGGTCCTTTCGAAAATTGAGTATGGTCTAATTGTGTTTGCATCAGCACGTAAGTCTCATATTGCGAAACTGGAAATACTTCATAGAGATGGTCTAAGACGATGTATTGGTGCCTTTAGGACAAGCCCTTCAGATTCAATATACTGTGAAGCTGGAATGCCACCTCTGAAATACAGAATACAGCAACTTAGCCTCAACTATGCAATAAAAATTGCAGCACAGCCTCTGCATCTCAATAACTCTATCATTTTTAATGAGGAAACGGAAGAACTCTTCCATGACAGACCAACCGCCACCCGCCCCTTTGGAATCCGGGTCAATGAAATACTAGCGGTCCTAGGTATCGATCTGCCAGATGTGGATAACTTGATGTTACCTGATCTACCACCATGGACATTAACAACACCTTTGACCGATACCGAAATGACTCGATACAAAAAAGGGACAATTTGTAATGAGGCTATAAATCGAGCTTTTTTGAACATTATTGCAAAATACCAACCATGCAAGATTATTTATACTGATGGATCGAAGACTGCTGAGGGAGTTGGTTGTGCCATAGCCTTTGAAGGATTTTGTCGTGGATGGAGTTTAAACTCGTCATGTTCTATATACTTCGCCGAAGTTTTCGCCATCTTTCAGGCTCTTAACTATATAAAGGTTTAGCAGGAGGTAAGTACCTTATCTGCAGCGACTCTCTCAATGCCATATTGGCTATCAAACACAAGTACTCAACAGATCCTCTCCTCATAAAGACGTTGAGTCTCCACCATAAGTTGTATCAAGAAAATAAACACGTTACTTTCATCTGGAGCCCAGGGCACTCTGGAATTCATGGAAATGAACTGGCTGATCAAACAGCACGCCAAGCAATTTTATTGGACGTAACAGGTGTACCACTTCGGCTAGAAGATGCTAAAGAAGCTATGAAGGAAAATGTCCTCCACTCATGGCAGGAAGAATGGAACCTCTCGAATAAATTTTTGAAAACGTTCAAGCCAAGCATAAAAAAATGGAGCCTTCCACATATGACACGTAGAGAACAAGTAGTAGTTACGAGAATGAGAATAGGGCACACATTTCTTACTCACTCCCATATGCTATTAGGTAATCCACCACCAAGATGTGAAACATGTAATAAATTGCTCTCATGGAAGCATATACTGTTTAAGTGTCCTTTATACCTAGCTGCTAGAACAGCACATAACCTAGCTCTGGACTTAGAAAGTTGCTTTCTCACTACTGCCAACATAGGTTCTACACTTGATTTTCTTAAATCTACCAAACTTTTTAGAAAAATATAGTGCAATTACGTAGGATCCTACTAAATACATATACGTAAACTGATGATCTATGATTGATTAAGAAGTACTAACGTCGGATATGTAATTAAATGCTTGTGTATCCACGATCATGTATACTTATTTTATTAGTGTCCTTGTCTGGACTAAGTTAATTATATGTCTGTGTATAAGATATAATATGTGTGTGCGTATACATGTGTAGATATTTTTTTTTTGTTCTTGTCTTTTTTTTTTTTTTGTGTATTGAAATCTGAGCTACTTACATGACATCTGAGTCACCCAGATCTACCCCTGTGGTGAAAGTGGCAATTGACCGTATGGGCAGGAGGGAAGCGGCTATTGTCATAGTAGCCGATGCCGCTGTGGGCAAAAAAAAAAAAAAAAAAAAAAAAAAAAATAGTAATAGCAATAATAATAATCATTATAATAATAATAATAATATTAATAATATAATATAATAGTAATATCAATAAAATAATAATTATAATAATAATAATAATAATATAATAATATACTATAAGAATAATAATTATAATAATGTAATAATAATAATAATATAATAATAACTATCATAATAAAATAATAAATATAATAATTTATTATTATTATATTAAATAATAATAATATAATAATAGTATATTATAATAATAATAATGTAATAATAATAATAATATAATAATATAATATAATATAATATAATAATAATTATAATAATATAATAATAAAATATCATAATATAATAATAATAAAATAATAATAATAATAATAATAATATAATAATAATAATAATAATCCCCGCAGGGGGTATCTACTTTTGAAGCTGGATCTTTGATCCGGTTTCAAGGGAAGATACATGGGGAGCGTCGCCCCCACGGCCCCAGGCAGGGAGTTCGGGGTTTGGTAGTCTTATTCATTCTGCCAAACCCTGGGCTTTTCCTTCCCCCTTTCTCCCATCCTTCTCCTTTTATATATCCTGTGCAGCTGTCCGCTGCCCTCACGACTTTCCTTGTCCTTTCCTTACTCCATGCGTTGAGGCGGCGCGTGGGGCTTCCTCTTAGCCTCCCGGGTGTTTGTGCCGTGCCCGGCGACCCGTAAGCTGGCCAATGGAATCCTGGTGGTTGAGCCCTACCAGTCAGGGGGGCAACACGCCACTTTGGTCCGGCGGTCAGTCTAGAAGGGCGGCCGCGCCTAGCCCAGCGTCGGTCAATCGGCTGTGCCATCCCGTCAGAGGGCTGGCTGGGCGAGCCTTCGCATTGCGAAGAAAGCAGACAGGTGTGGATTATTTCTACCCTTGGCCATGCCGGACCGCAATGCGAAGACTATACTTTCCTTCAGCAGCCCTGGTGTCCATGTCCCGAACTATGTTTGCAGGCATGGCATCCCCAATGAGGACTCCGTGGCGGGTGGGGAGCTGGGAAGGTGAAGCATTTTGAAATTCGCATGGATGAAATACAAACCAAAAACCCACCCAGAAATGGGAAAGCTACCGCGCAAGCGGCCACGGCCAGCCAGAGAAAGGAGGGAACCATCCCCCGGTTTCTGGTGGTCGAACGGATTGATGGGGGTAACTTTGATAAAGTAAGCCCCTTTGTTGTGTCAAGAACATTATTTGGAATTGCTGGGAACCTGAAATTAATAAAGAAAATCAAATCTGGGCTACTGTTGGAAACCAGTACCGCAACCCAGGCAAACAGACTTTTGCAAACACAAAGAGTTGGAGATTAATGTTGTAGTTAAAGCGCATTCCACGCTTAATTACTCCAAAGGAATTATTACTTGTGCTGATCTTTTGAACTCCACTTTGGAGGAAATATTGGACGGCCTGAAAACAGAAGGAGTTATTGACGTAAAACGTATGATGCGTAGAAGAGGTGAGGAACTTATAGAAACACCAAATCTCATTCTCACTTTTGATAGACCCAATCTACCTAATAAAATTAAAGCTGCCTTCTACCACCTTGATGTTCGCCCTTACTACCCAAGCCCTTTGCGGTGTTTCAAATGCCAGAAATTTGGTCATACATCCCAGAAATGTCCTAATACCGAAATGTGTACTTGTGGTCAACCCAATCACCCAGGAGAGCCGTGCAATGAACATAAGAAATGTATCAACTGTGAAGGACAGCATGCTGCTGATTCTAGAGAATGTCCGCGGATGAAGGAAGAAGTTGCCATCCAAAGAGTGAGGACGCTAGAAAAAATTAGTTATCTGGAGGCAAAAAGGAAAGTAATTAGCTCATCTCCCCGGGTGTCATACGCTCAAGTTACCGCTACCCCAAGTGCTACAGTTAATAAACTTGTTGAAGAACTTCTTCCTCTGCTTTCAAAAACGATAGAAACACAGATTAAACAAACCTTTGATAAATTTGTAAATAGACCAGTACGGACATTGACACCTTTAAATCTACCTCCTCCTAACCAATACCTATCGGATACGTCTACTCAACCATCTCTTTCAGAAAAGAGGAAACGTACTGTTATCCAAAAGGATAATGCGGATGATCCCGCAGACGATACTGACGAAAGCTTTCGTCACAAGCCAGCGGAACATCCTCACTTGCTAAGAAAAAAAAGGGATGGCCGAAGGGAAAACCCAGAAAGCCTCCAGATGATAAGACGATTAGTTCCGATGTAATTGATCTCAACTAGCATTACGTAACGATGACTTCTGTGATATTACTTTGCAAAATGCATTTTTTATCCATATTTTTTATACATAGTTATATTTATATCTTTTTATACTCTATATATATATATACACCTTTTACTTATAGTTACACTTATTTTTCACACAATGTGTTCTATAGTGCAATGGAATATTAATGGATATAAAACGCACCACCCAGAATTGAAATCACTTCTGTTAAATGAGGCACCAATTTGTGCATGCCTTCAAGAAACGCATCTAGCAGATTCAGACAGCATAAACCTACGTGGATATACATGTTACAGGAAAAATGGCATTAGGAATATTCGTGCCAAAGGCGGCGTCGCGACCCTTATAAAAGAAGATATCCCATCTAATGAAATCATGGTTGACTCACAATTGCAAGCAATCGTAGTACAAATCTTCCAGCCAGTTAAACTAACTATATGCAACATCTATCTCCCAGACTTCAGCTGGGAATCAAGACAAATGCGGCAACTTTTTTTCAGTTGCCTACACCTTGTGTCATACTGGGCGACTTCAACGCCCATAACCCATTATGGGGATCAGAGAAACTTGATATGCGAGGCCGCCTTATAGAAGATATCATCAACGAATATAACCTGGTGGTTTTGAACTCAGGATCAGGTACCTTCCTAATATCCGCTCTCTTAAACTTAGCGCTATAGATCTAACAGTTTGCAGTCCTGAAATTGCACATCTGTTTACTTGGGAAACAATGGACGATCAATTCTCAGATCATCTGCCTATTAGAATAAAATGTGCGACCCGATGTTCAAACTTCTATTCCTCCCCAAAATGGCAAATTAAAAAGGCAAATTGGAGTAAGTTCCAAGAAAACATCAAACCCTTGAGTTTAAAGAATCTGTCGAAGAATCTGTGCAACAGCTCACCGAAAATATCTTGGACGCTGCTAAAGTGAGTATCCCTGTTTCAGGCTATACCTCTCCCATTAATATAAAGCCCAGAGTGTCTTGGTGGAATGATAGATTAGAAAGAGCATTGAAAGAAAAACACCATGCACTTAACATATTTAAAAGATACCCTACACAAGAAAATCTTATACGCTTCAAAAAATGTAGAGCTAATGCGAGGAAAATTTTACTCAACAGCAAAAAAGCATCGTGGAAAAATTATGTTTCCTCAATAACCTCTGAGACCCCGACTTCAGAAATTTGGTCAAAGATAAGAGCTATAAGTGGAAGATCATTAACTCTACCAAGTTCTATTCTCATCGTTAATAACCAAGAAATATCCGAAAAGAACGAAATCTTGAATACTTTGGCACAACGATTTCAAATAAATAGTGGGACTGAAAGATATGCTGACAACTTCATCCAACAAAAAAATGAAGCAGAAGAAGTGGGAATTGACTTCGACGAGGAAAATATATCTGAATATAACCTTCCTGTAACTTTGGATGAACTGGAGTACGCACTCGCTGAGGTCAAAAGCTCTTCACCTGGTCCAGATACTATACACTATGAAATGATACAACACTTACCTGTAAGTGAAAAACAAAAACTACTAGAACTATATAACAAAATATTGATAGAAGGTACTTACCCAAAACAGTGGCAAAACGCAATCATCATTCCTATCCCGAAAGCTGGTAAAGACAGTAAGGATCCCAATAACTACCGCCCCATATCTCTAACATGCTGCCCAAGTAAAATACTAGAAAAAATGTTAAACTTAAGGCTTATATGGTACCTAGAGAAACATGGATTATTGTCAAAATATCAAATGGGTTTTCGTAGGTATAGATCAACAACAGATCAGCTAGTCTATCTGGAAGCAGCCATTCAAAAAAGCTTTGCTAAAAGGCAACATACAGTAGCAGTATCATTTGACATTGAAAAAGCATATGACACTACATGGCGGTTTGGCGTACTGAAAACACTGCATGAATGGGGAATAAGAGGATACATACTACGTTTCATTGCAGGCTTCCTAGAACACAGGTATTTTAAAGTACGTATTGGAAAAGAACTTTCAGCATCATACAGACAAGAGAACGGTATTCCCCAAGGTTCAACTCTAAGCGTGACCCTTTTTCTTGTGGCTATAAATAAGCTAATCGAAAAAGTGCCAATAGAAGTCGGGAAATGTATATACGTTGACGACTTAACAATATTTTTACTGCAGACAAAATGGAAGATATAGTAGGTACTTTGCAGACATCCATAAATACATTAGCTTACGAGGCCGAAAAAATGGGTTTCTCCTTCTCTCCACAGAAATCAGCATGCATACATTTTTGCAGGCTAAGGAGACATCATGACCCACCAGCTCTGACTTTGAAAGGCACACCAATAGCTAACAGACACCATATAAACATATTAGGCATTACCTTGGATGATAAATTATACTGGAAGAATCATATAGAGGAACTCGTAATCAAAAGTAAAAAGGCCTTAAAATTATTAAATGTCTCTCAAGCATCAGTTGGGGAGCAGACAGGGATGTGTTGCTCTCATTATATAAATCAATAGTCATGTCCAAGTTTGAGTATGGAGCAATAGTATACTCAGCAGCAAGACAATCCCATCTAAGTAGATTAGAGAGAATACACAAGGAGGGTATACGGTTATGCATTGGTGCCTTCCGGACATCACCGAATGCGTCCGTTTTTTGTGAATCAGGCATACCTCCCTTAAGCTACAGAATACAGCAGCTGCTACTGAACTATAGCGTAAAAATATGGGCACAACCCCAGCACCCTAACCAATATATTATTTGAGGAAGAAGAAATTTCAATTTATCGGTCTAGACCATCCATCACAAAGCCCGCAGGTGCCCGCATCCATAAGCTACTCGAGGATTTAGAAACTCAGATGCCCCCAACCTATAGTCTTAAATACATAGATTGCCCTGTATGGAGGCTGTCACTCCCAGAAGTTAACTTCGAATGCGCCAAATACAAAAAAGGCCACACCAATCCTACATTTTATAAACAGACATTTCTTGATATAATTGGTAAATACCAAAACGTAAGGAGAATAATTTATGCGGATGGGTCTAAAACCGAAGGGGGCATAGGATGTGCATTAACAACTACGGAGATAACCCGCAAATGGCGCCTAAGTCCAATGGCCTCAATTTTCTCAGCGGAATTATACGCAATACTTCAATCCCTAAAATTGATTGATGATGAGGAACAGGGCTTATACATAATCTGCAGTGACTCTTTGAGCTCACTGCAAACTATTTCTGACAAATTCAGTAAAAACCCCTTAGTTCAAGAGATTCTCTTGACCACCTACCAGCTCCAACAGAAGAAATCACAGGTCATATATGTGTGGACGCCAGCACACGTAGGAATCCATGGAAATGAAATAGCAGATACAGCTGCCAAGGAAGCCACAATGGAAGAATACCTCAACATACCAGTCGTGCCTGAAGACGTGAAAAAATTCATGAGGTTGCAGCTACTTAATGAATGGCAGCAAGAATGGAACTCAACAAACCATTTTTTGAAGACGATCAAGCCGAACGTAACAAAATGGAATCTTCCCCATCTGACTCGTAGAGAGCAGGTCGTAATTACGCGAATGAGAATAGGTCACACAATTCTTACACATTCCCACATACTTTTAGGTAATCCACCACCAAGGTGTGAGACGTGTAATGAATTGCTTACTTGGAAGCATATACTGATCGAGTGCCCATCATACATAGCTGCTAGAAGAGCACACAACATAGCTGGTGATTTAAAAGGTTGTTTATCCTCTAATGCCAACGTAGGAGATACATTGAATTTCCTTAAATCTACCAAGCTTTTCCGTAAAGTATAACGTTATTAAATAAGATACTACTATGTAGAAATATATTAGATAGCTGTAGGTCTATGATAGATAAGGAAGCACTGGTGTCGGATAAGTAAGTAAATACAGGGTACCCACGCGTATGTGGGTATTCTTATTTACATTTTTTTTTCTGTGTTTGTCTGTAATAAGTTAATTTTATATGTTTGTTCTTTTTTTTATGTATTCAAAAAATCTGAGCTACATCACATAACATCCGAATCACCCAGATTTACCCCTGTGGTGAATGTGGCAATTGACCATATGGGCAGGAGGAAAGCGGCTAATGGCCTTAGCAGTCGATGCCGCTGTGGGCTTAAAAAAAAAAAAAAAAAAATAAAAATAATAATAATAATAATAATAATAATAATAATAATATAATAAGAATAATAATAATAATAATAATAATAATAATAATATAATAAAAAATAATAATAATATATATAAATAATAATAATAAAATAAGAATAATAATAATAATAAAAAATAATAAAATAATAATAATAATAATAAAAAATAATAATTAATATAATAATAAAATAATAAAATAAAATAATAATAATAATATAATAATCATATAATATAATAATAATAATATAATAATAATACTAATAATAATATATATAATAAATAATAATATCATAATAATAATAATAATCATAATATAATAATATATAATAATAATACTTAATCATAATATCATAATAATATATATAATAATAATAATATAATATCATAAAAACTAATACTTAA